TTTTATTTTATTTTTCGTTGCCACGTTTATTATTATTATTTTTTTGTTTATCGATCGTACGATCTGTACTATGGTTTTACATATTTTTTTTTTTTTTTTATATCTTTTCTGACCGCATATTTTTTTTTGTTTTGTCTTCTTTTATTTGATTTGATTTTTCAATTTTTCTGTTATCGCTACTTTGGAAAATTCACGCGTTCGAGTTCGCACCATTCGTTGGTTATATCAACGTAATCTTCGTTCAACCATTTTTATTCATCGATTCATTGTAGAGATTTAAATTAAAGGAAAATCCTTTGATAATATGACAACGAGTATGCGTTCATTTAAAACACATATATGTGTATGTGTATATAATGTATGTGTATATATAAAACTATAAGCGACCTGGACTACGAACGTGGTTCATTTTCGATCGGACGAATAAAACGATAGTTATTTTGCGTGAGAGCCAGTTCCCATATCTACTTTCCTACCGATTACTCTGTCAATAATAATTAATTTCTGTCTCTATTCTGTCGTATCTCGTTGAAAAGTAAATTCGTTAGCGGCCGCCCGCAATTACGTTGCAACCGGAAATATTTGCGAAGGAAAAGTGGAGGGGCTTGGTATAGGATGACCAGAGGGGTGAGGGGCTGAGCTGTGTTGAGGGGGTGTTAAAATTCCTCTATACTTGTTTCCAGATCCTATACATTTATCATTACATAACATTTACGTGTATATTATATATGTATGTATATCTGTATGTGTGCACGCATGCATAATAAGTATATCCACGTTTCGAATTTCACGAATTTCGTTATCATTATTCTATTAAGACTAATTGACAAATTTTTTTCTTTTATATTATGTTATTTATAATATATATATATATTATTATTATATATTTATATAAATTATAACTGTTTAAAAAAAATAAAAAAAAAAATATGATACTATAGATATATATTTTAAAGATACTGGAATGAAAAAGTAAATGGTATTTACGTTGGAAAAATACTCAACGAAATAACTCTTATTTTACCTACTCTTTTGAAAGACCCGAGCTAACTTGAAAGAATAATGTTTACACGTGTAAACGTCTCAAGGTAAAAGACGATTCTAATGTTCAAAGTTGAAAGAAATACACAGAAAATAAGAGAGAAAATGAGAGAAAGAGAGAGAGAGAGAGAGAGAGAGAGAGAGAGAAAGAGAGTAGAAGAAATAAATAACACACAAATAGTCTTCGGTCGTCTCCGTGGTGGTCAACAACAAACAACAACAATGAAGACAATAACGGGGATCTTATGTCAAAGGTTAAATGCAAACTTAAAGCAGCAAACATGAAGATCATTTATTCATAGATTTTATCATTTTGGGCATCGACGTAAAAAAAAAATAACCGACGTAAAAAAAATAACATACCAATTTCTTGCATCTTTTTATTTTTTATTAACACGTAAATTTCAAATATAACAAATAATTAATTTTCATCGAATCATTTTTTTTCTCTACCCCCTTCCCGTCCCCTCTTCCTCCCACCTCCGCCACCCCCACAATCGCATACGACATTTTTATCTTCTTTTTTTCTTTATGATCGAGAAAGAGAGAGAGAGAGAGAGAGATAGAGATATTGTATTTTTATTTTATTTTTTTAACCATACTATCTCTCTCGACAATGACGTTTAAAATGAAATTATATTTAACCGTATATATAATACGAGGCAAAGTTCAACGTTTGTTACATACAGTTTGTGTGCAATGAGATTCAAATAATTTACAATAAGCGCTTTGTACGAATTGTGTAAGATCTCTTTTTTTACTCCTTTTATTTATTTTTTTTTCTTGTATCGTCTAAGGAAATATGATCGAATACGAAAAGAACGTAAATAAAATAAATTTCGTATTTAATTTTTTGTAATCCGTTTTTATATAATTTTAAATAGTATTCGAAAAATTCTGATATGATTTATCAACGAAAAATCCTAATGATACTTATTAAAAATAATCGATTAAATCCCGTGGCCATCCATTATAGGTTTTCTTCGATAACTTTAATATTATATAATTGCTTCTATATCAATTTTATTCTTTTCAATTTTCTTTATCCCCTTGACTAAGCTTCAGCTTTTTTTTTTTTTTTAACTCCGTCTCTCTTCGATTACGATAAAGAAGAAAATAGAAGAACAAGAAGAAGAAAAAGAAAAAGAAGAAGAAGAAGAAGAAGAAGAAGAAGATGAAGAAGTTAAAGACAAAATTAAACACAAGTGGAGAGGAGAAGGAGAAGAAAAAGAAATAAAACTTCGCAGAAAACACGAACGATGATTACTATATCTCATTGAGTTGTATGTATTCTCTTATCCTATTATTTCATACACTCTCCTATCATTTTTTTATTATTAAACTACGATTATTATCTAAAAAAGAAAGAAAAAATAAACCAATAAGAATTATTTCGATCATCGTGGCAACAAGTTATTTGGCTTTTTTTTTCTCTAAAGTTAAAAAGATTTATTTAAAAAAAAAAAAAAAAAAAAAAAAAAAAATTATTTTTCTAATGTAGTCATCGTGGAATGAAATTTCTTTTATTCGTGCCCGAGTCCAATTAAAATAAATAAATAAATAAATAAATAATAATAATAAATCATGCAACGCGCGAGGAGAGGATAAGTGTCGCAACAATTGAAAAGAAAATATTAATATCTATTGAAAAATATTATAAATGATGATATTAGTTATAATATTCGCGTGAACTTTGGTCCAATTGTTATAAGTTAG